TTAATTTAAGTCGCGTACTTTTTGAACTTTTATATTATAAGAACCACTTGTTGAAAATGATATGTACATTTTAAGATACTTTGATAAAATTCAAACGACTTAGTCAAACTGACAAGCATTTTTGTTGTATTATACAATGATAATAAATACTAACTTATTATCTACTTTATCTTAGAAATATTTGTGTAACTTGCCGAATTCTATGCACTAGTTTCGTATTTGACAGCTTATGTAAACATTAATAAATCTTATACTAGCATCAAGCTGTGTAATTCAGCAAATTACAAAATAATTTGATCGAATTTTTTGATAGTAAATTAGAAAAAAACATATTTTAATATTAAAGTACAACATTTATAGATCATTTTCTTTTTAAATACAATATTTACAATTTTTAAAAAATAATCTCAACTTTATCCATTTAAATTAAATATTACCGACAGTTTTTGATTAATTTTTTAAAAACCGATATATTTTAAAAGTATCACTGAATATGATAACTCCTCGAAGTTCTAAGTGCGTTATACGTGCATTAAATTATTATGTTTCACTTAAAAACAGATCAATTTAACGTATTTAAACATCAAATCAAAGGAAAATATAGCAAAGTAATTAATTTTAGTTGTCTTTCAGCGTTGCAATTAAGCTGCGTCTAACGTCACTAATTCCTGGATACGTGATCAACCAAGAATTTATCAACCAAGTTCTGCTATATTATACTTTACATGTTCCAGATAACCGAACAACTAACTAAACACCTACACCATTATAGGTCCACTGGATCCTCTATAGTCCCCCTAATGCACCTAACAGTTAGAGCTACCTGAAGTTAAAATAAACCACATATATGACGTTAATTTTCTCAAAAATCAAAATGTAACCAGGTGAATATATTTTAAGATGAGTTGCGCAAAAGGGTTACAATTCTTTCCTAATCTAATATTTAATGACTATCAAAATTAGAGTGTTGGTTTTTTTTTTTTGATGGATCAGCCAGAATGGTTAATCGTTTCGCCTAGAACGATAAGAACGATAGGAAATTATAGAAGTTGTTTATTTATTGGGTTCAAGTAGGCTTACATTTGATATTATGGCACCAATATCATTTACTGTGAGCGACTTTCGATCTCAAGGATGCTAAGTGACTAATATTCAAAATTAAATTCTATTGGTACAATATGATATATACGTATAACTTTAATTGTTATAAAATAAAATAAAATGTCTTGTTTTCTTTTTAAACATTAAAGAACTATATTTAATCTAACCTTAATATGTTAAACGAAATACTTTAACTAGATATAGTATTTAATTCGAATTAAATTTAATAAAATTAATTTATAAAATAATCAAACTAGAAAACATAATAGTTCTTTAATTTCAAAATTGACAAATAAAACGGATTTATCAATTGTTTGTGGTTTTAAAATATTAAATTGTAAAACATTATATCTTAATAGATATTGAACTATTAAATACCTCTGAAATGTGTAATAATTATAAATATGTATATTATATGGGTTAGACAAAAACGTCATACACAAAATATCTTATTTTTCATTTTTAATTGAATTATAAACACAAAATGACGTGGTTTTGGTTTATTTTTATATAATTTACTAAAGCCGTTTATACAAATACATATTTAATCCAAATATTGTTTTAATATGATTTTATTATGAACCGGTACACTATCTTAATAAAAGAACATAATAAAAAATGAAATCTATTTCCAAATATTATGTCCGGAATTAAATTAAAAAATGTAAATTATCCAAAGGTTAAGAAGAATGGACAGAAACCTTATAGTTGAATAACTATGATATAAATGTATGTATAAAGTATTAAGTAAAAAGTATTAGATTAACAATACTCAAATACAAGAAAAAATGATAAAATGTAGTGACCTTTTTATTTTTATTAGAAATTACTATAACTCAGTGAATTTTAGGTTAAGGATCATGGTTTATAATTAATAATTATTCCAAAAAAATTGAAAAATTCTAATTTGATGATTAAAATAACTATTGCTATTTAAAGAAACACGACTTGTACATAACATCATTGATTATATAATAGACTATTATATAATCAATTATAACGTGTACACTCATAATAATAATAATAGTGGACATTTTGAAATAATTTTAACTCTTTATTATGATACCTCCTATGACTTAATAAGTCTTATTATAAACTCTAAAGCTTTTTTCAATATCGTCATCCAACTGAGATATATTTAATATTACAAGAATTGTGTTAATACTTTTTATGTTTAGATTTATATCACTTTAATATATTAAAATGAACAAATTATAAATTGGATATAACACTGCATTGTAGAGTTAAAAAAAAAATTTCATACATTTATTTTATTTTTATATTAAAAATAATTTTAGAATATATTAATTTTTTAGAATTCACCAAATTATAGTAAATTATAAAAAAATATACCTAAACCACATAATTCTATGTTCAGAATTCAATTAAAAATTACATACAAGAAAAATAAAATATATTGTTAGGTACATAAACAACACAAGTATTATAACAAAATAAACAGTAAAGATTAGAATAATATAATTATTTATTATTATTAAAAGTCTTCAACTATACTTCCAATTTTTAATTTTAATAAAAATAGGAAGCAATGAAATTTAAAAACTATTTATTTATTCTTTTTGAAATATTTTTAAATTTATTTAAGTCAGACAATCATGCTAACATTATTTACAACAAATATGATTACAATAATAATACGATCGCCTTTTTCAACTATTTAAAAATGTGTTTTAATTGAAAAATTAACTTTTTATTCTAAAAAAATAATAAAGCTTTAATTTTTTTTTCAATTATCATCATTTAATTTTTTACACTACATGATAGAAGACACAATACAAAATATGTAAGCCCAGACAAATATGCATGACATATATGACCAATGCAAGTAAAAAATATAACATAAAATTAGAAAAAAACATAAGGCAGTTTTAACCTCATATATACTTTTAGTAGTCAATGAATGGAGAATAATTATGTTCTATTAAGAAATTTAAAAAATTTGAATTACAGATTTGTTATTTAGTTAAAATCTATTATGAGGTCTAACAAATTGATTATAATAAAAGTAGTAATTTAAATCTCAATGTTTATTTACCATTTTTTAATAATATTAATTGTAATCGTTTGTTACATAAAACAATGTATTCTCTTTAAAAAATGTATATTAAATATTTTTTATTGATCATTAGCCATACTCTTAAATGCGTAATATGTAAATAAATAAGCACATGAAAATAATAAAAATATTTGAGAAACCAATATTTAATGTATTACCTAGTTGCTCAAAAAATATTATTATTTTTATTTTCTCAATATTTTTTCTTAACATAAAAAACAATTGAAAATTGTTGGAAATTATTTGAAGCCTCTAGAGATTTTGATAACCTAGGCAGGGTGACTGTTAGCTCATGACCGTCTCAAGAGAAAAAATTGTCCCCACCTTAACTGATTAAGCTAATGTTTTAGAAATAACTTTTGAAATAGAAAAGTTCAATTTTATATCTTGAAAAAAAAACAAATATCAAAAATTATAACTAATAAGTAATAAGTTTTAACGATCTACAACTATGATTTAATTATGATAATAAGAAATAATTCTGTATAAAAAAATATTCATTAACCAATTCTTAGTTAAATCATACATCATATGAATAATATTAAATATTATTATAGTACTATCATATATTATCTAAAGAAAAAATATATATATCGATAGAAGAAAACTAATTTATGAATTCAACTAAACTAAACATAAGAAAAGCAAAACAGTAGAATTTAAATTATATTACATTAAATAATCAATAAACCTTTAAGCACAGTGATTTTCAATATTTATTAAGTTGTAGGCTCTTTAAAAGCAAAATATTTTTTAACGCTTCCTAAGAAAAACTAAAAAATTAAAATGGTATGCTTAAAAAGCATATAGTTGAAAATAATTACATAGGAATATAGATATATATTTACATAATATATATCATACTCAACACCATCCAAATGCCAAATACAAGTTAACCCCTTCCACTCAGAACCTCTTCATTACCTACCAGGGGGCCATATCACCCATGTTGAGAATCAGTGCTCAAGCAGGACAGATTAATGTGCAGGAAATTATAATTATAAGACATTAAGTGTTATAAAATATACATAAATTAATAAAATGAATTTGTGGATTTATAAAAAACTTAGAAACATTAATATCTACCATAACAAACATCTACTATACTTATGACATATCTTAAGTGTATGACTTTTTGAGAAGAAGAATCAAATACATTCTTCTTTTTTTTAACATTAAAATGTTTGATTTTTTAAATTTATAATCTAAAAGAGAAAGAAGAATAGTGAAAAGAAACTAAGAAATTTAAATTATTTTTATACTTCACGTTTTAAGAGTTAATAAAATATAGAATAATAAAGTTTCTTATGAAAATATGCAACTATATTATTACAAACAAATAATACTCTATAAACAAAATAAATGTGAAATAAACCCTTTACATATTGAAAAGAAAAAATAGGAAAAAATTCTAAAAATAAATAGACTTTTTATTTAGTTTATATATATAAATATACACCAAGAAAAGGATATTGATTCTAATTTGTTGTGCATGTAACATAATAGTAATATCATAAAATACATACTTTATTCAATAATAGGTAATATATCAAAATAGTTTTATTTTTAAATTTGAAATATATATATAATTTAATAGTTTATGCTTCTTCATATACCTAGATAACTTTATTCATAATATTTATTTTTTTTTGTTTAAATACCAACTACATCAGCTGCTAAATACAGGTATATTGATTATTATTTAAAACATTTCATGTGACTTAAAGAGTTTGTTTTTAATAAATACTTAAAACTATCAAATTATTGTTATATATACATCATCAAAATTAATAATAATTTATTTCAAATAAAACTTTATTACTTTCATCAGTCTGTGGAGCAGATAAAATTGCACTGTGTTTTTTCTTCACTTCTTCCACATTAGCTTGAATCTTATCTATCATCCCTCTGATGCCTTCCACCTTAAATATACACATAATTTATAACATTTTAACACATTATAAATATAATTATAAACTGCATAAGATATACTACATATTACCTCAAATTTAAAATTGGATAATAGGGGTTTGTAAATTGATTTCATTATGATTTGTTAATTTAGGTTAGTCGAAATTTATTTTATAGCAACAAAAATGAACATTATCTTTAAAAATAAATTATGAACTAATGCAATTATCTATACTCATTTAAAATGAAAGTGTCATTATAGAGGACATGTCTCACTTATCTAAATAGGTTTGTTTATTTATCTATTATGTATAATCACTAAGTATATAGAAAACTTAATATAACTTTAGTACATAAAAAACTATACTTTATTAATTAATGAATTCAAATATAATTAGATTAGTAAGTTTAGTAATAACATTTTTTTATTCATACTTAAAATTTTTAATAATTAATTAAATTGAGTACTAAAATATCATATTTTTTTTTTTTTTTAATAAATCAAACATACTATAAAAAATATAGTCAATATAGAAATGTAAATTCTGCAAATATATTTTAATATTAATTTTTCTATTGAATAATATAAATAAACTACCATAAATATAGATAAATATTAAATTGTAACCTTGCATCTTAAAACATAATGGTTGATAAATAAGATAATTTAGATTTTTATAAAAATAATTAAACATATTTTTATAATATAAAATTTTAAGTGATCATAATATATAAGTATAAACAAATATACAATCATACAATAGTATAGTTTCTCAAAATTGTAGTCACAACTTTCAAAATAAGTCAAAAATAAAATCAGTAACTCCACAATCATTCAGTTAAAATTAATAGATATCAATTTTAGCAACTACAAAAATTTTATTATTAGGGCTCAGAACTTAATGCACTTAAAAAATACTATATATGCATGCACTTATGCGCTTAAAAAAGTACAAATATGCTCTAAAAATATGCACTTATATTTTATTTTTGTACACAAAATTTTCATTTGCACAAATATTTTATAAAATTATAAATATAGAAAAAGCAAAGTAATAAAAATAATTTTGATTTAAAAAAAAAAAATAATAATAATAAAATAGCATTAAAAATGTTTCTTGAATAAAATAAAATGCACTAGTAGAATGTTCAATAATCATTATTTCCTAGAAAAATAATTATAGAAAATCATTGTATTTCGATAGCAGCTGCTCCTATTTGATATTTTTATAATATTTTATTTTAGATGAAGCTAGCAGTAATTATAATTTATAAATATATGTATATTATATAAACCAATAGGAGAAAAACATTGTTTTTAATGTCAAATGGAAATTTGAAAAATACAATACAAGAATATTAAGAAAGTTCTCTCAATATGAATGAATTAATTTTTTATTTTTTTGAATTTTCATTCTGAATCTTCAAAAATCATAAAATATGCTCTAAGAAATTGTGAAGTTAAGAAATATGCTATAAAATCTAAAAATCACTAAATATGCAAAAATATGCACTATAAATTTTTGATATGGTTTTCGTAGTGTCTTGGAACGAATTTCTAGCTCACTTAGCAATAAATCCAATCGTGCAAAAAAAACATGCAAATGCAACAACTTCCAAGCCCTAGTTATTATTTATGGAATGAATAACTATGCATAGACATACTTTTATGAATGTAAACATAAACAACTATTACGTTAATTATTATTACAATGCTTATATTTTTTCTAAGTATAGTAATTGCAATAAAAGTTATTGGAGCTATTTATTTTAATACCTATAATCTCATATTAAATATTTTATTGATATAAAAAGAACAATGATACTTTAAGGTATACACAATACAATTTTTCACAAAAATTTACTTTTTTTAGTAGCATTAAATCAGTAGCGTAAATATGATTTCTGAAAGAGGGGGAAAAAAAAATAAAATGACATAGCTAAATGGGAGGGCGAAATTAGAAAAATCCCCCCCTCAAAACTTTTTACTTAGATAGTATCGATAACTGACATTGTACTTTTATTGAAATATGAAATTAAAGTATTATTTTTTTCTTTTATTACACATATTTGATTACTATATAACAGTAATAACTAATATTATAAGTTATAACAATGATATGGTTACCAACTTTATTGTTTAATCAATTTATTATTTTTATTTGCTATTGTGTGTAGTCTGATGCTAGTAGGTTAGAATATATTGTAGATCATGGTTATCAGTGGCGTGGTGAACGACGTTTACCTAATGCTATTGCTTAGCCCTAGAAATGTTCTGGAGGGTACCCCTTGGCTCTTTGAAATTGTACCTTTATTTAGATCCTTACTCTCTGCGGACTGCAGTGGTGGCTAGCTATAAAGTACTATAAATATATAGTGCTACAGTTGTAGTTAGTTTGTCTAAGCTAGAGCAATTGGCATTTGTTGTTAGATTTGTAACTTATAATGGAACTATTCAAGAGCGTTTAGTTACATTAGAAGTAGCTAGAGATGCTTCAAACAAAGGTTTATTTAATTTATTTTCTGATATATTTGCAAAATACCATTAGAATGGAAAAAAAACTCATCGCTCAAGTATATGATGGTGCAAGTACAATTCAAGGGGAATACCAAGATTTTAGATCTCATATTCAATCACAGAATCCACAGGCTGTATATATTTGGTGTTTTGCGTATATATTAAATCTAGTTTTTGATGTTTGTGAGTTTACGTAGATACTAAAATTTTTATTTCTAATATTCAAAATTTGACTACATTCATGTTGGCTAGGAAACGAATAGCAGACTTTGTTGAAGCTCAGCTATTTTTGTACCCAAATATAAGAGTAAAAAGAATGAAAAATTTGTCCATAACTCGTTGGACCTCACACAATCATGCAGTTAATGTAGTTTATCTTAAATACTAGGCTGTTTTAGAAACTTTAGAACACCTTCCTATGTTACCTGATACTAGCACAGAATGTCAAGCAAAGGTCTTTATCCAAACATTGTTTCATTCAAATTTATTGCTATAATGATACTTATGAAAAAAAAATTTGATATTACCAACCCACTCTCAAATTACCTACAATCATCAACCTTGAACTTTGTAGAAGCATTAAATTTAGTTGATAGTGCACAAGATCGAATGAAAAAATTAAGAATTAAAGATATGTTTAAAACATAATGGATAAAGCCAAATAATTTTCTACATTGCATAAATTAGAAGAGACTAGTTTAAAAGAAGAATGATTAAGTAGGAAAACAAAATTGCCTGGTGAAAATTGCAGGGATGAAGCCCTCACTAATGTTATTAACAAATTTAAGATAAATGTATATTTTTATACTCTGGATAAAATAATTGGTACATTAGACAGTAGTTTTCAATCTAGTTGAGGTATATTAACAGATCTCAGTTGACTATCATATGCTCGTATTAAAGATGACGTAAAGGACTCATTTCATCCTCCAAATACATTTTTAGAACTTCATAAATGGCTTCCTGAGATAAATGTGAGCAATTTAAAATCTGAATATTTGGCTTTTGCAGCAAGTTTTTAATCTTTGGAAGTTGGTGTTACTAATCCGGAAATATCTAAAATCTTTGTTCAACAGTCAAACAATATTAATGAGAATGATGAGATTGATAGTGAAAGTGAAGATATAGAAGTTTCTTATACAAATGATAAACAAATTGGTTTTGCTTCTCGAATGGTTCTAATGATTTGTTATAGTTTAATGGCTTTGTTTTCTAATTTATATTTAGCTTTTAAAGCTATGTGTACCATTCCTGCATCTTCTGCTTCTGCTGAACGATTATTTTCTAAGGTAAGAAAGAACTAAATTGTATATATTCAATTATTGTTTGTATCTTTTAAAATTAATGTTAACTGATTGTTAACATTATAATATATGTTATTTTAATTATTGATTGTATATGAATCATAATTATACATATTACACTTTAGTACACAATATTATAGTATTATACCATTATTATTATATTGGTATTTACTAGCTATATATCATTGTATCCAAATAATTCTTAATCATTATATATTTGTTATAATACATATATATTATTACTCAGATACCTAATAGATAATTGTTTTAAGTAATATTTATACTCTTAAAATACTTGATTTTTTTTTTATTTACTCAGGTAAAGATAATAAAGAATATATTAAGAACAACCATTGGTCAAAACAGATTGGAATCATTAATGCTTTTATCTTGCAAAGATATTTCATTTAATTTAGAAAAAGCATTAGATATAATGGGTAAATCTAGAAAATTATATATAGTTTGGTGGGCCATGGGTGAGGAAGGGGTATTGTTGGTATTGTTGGTGGGTCATTGTATAAATAATTTGCTTAAGGTTTGAAAGATGTTCACCACACCACTGATGGTTATAATCATACAATAAAAGTTATAATTAAATCATTTTCTATTTAACGTATTATTTGTACTCAGTACACATCGAGTACAATAAGTAATAATGTAAATTTGACCAAAACTGGATAAACTGATGCTACTCATAGTATCCGAAAATTTTTTAAACACAGACACTTAGTAGAAGCCCATTAGCCTATGTAGTTGAGCTTACATACAAACTGTTATATACATAGTATTCTCTATAAAAATAAGATAAGCTATAATAAAATATAATAATAGAAGTCATTGACATAGGCACAATTTGGGGAGGGGCCTTAGCACCTCCATTTTTTAAATTAGCACCCCCAAATGTGTTCATGTTAATTTACATTTAAATACTCATTACTTATCAAGTATAGAAAAATAGAGTTAGTTCATCCTTTGTCTTTTCGGCTCTCAAACTAGATAATAGTAATAGGTAGGGTTACCATATTTTGAAATCCCTAAACTTAAACCATTATATTGAATAACGCATAAATACTTTCAAAAAATTAAGCATTTTTAGAGTTCTATATTTAAATAGCATTGCAAAATAATTTACAAATCGCCATTTGACAATTTTATCAAATACAAAAAAAATATCTTTGCTAGAGGGTAAAAGTTTCAAGTTTCTAGCCACATTACTTTTGGAATAATGACTAAACAACTAAAATCTGAAAAGTGAAAGTCTCTTTACAGCGTATTTTTACCTTTTTAGGACAGTTTTTTTTCTCGCGCCTAGAAAAACTATTAAGATTTTAAAAAATGACCTATTTAAAGTACCACTGCATGCCAATTTAAAATCTAAAAAGTTCCTAGAAAAAAATTTTAGACCAGTATTTCTATGCGAAAAAGTGTTAAAAAAATAAAATACAAATATCATTATAAAACCATAATATTTTTCGCTTCATTTATAATCAGAAAGTGGCCATGTGATGAAATATTTGTGTTAACAGACTGGTAATTTGTTATATGTACAATAAAAATATAAAATCAAAGCGAACAATTTAAATTTAAAAATATTAAAATATTTACTAAATATTTTAGTAACTGTTGAATTGTAAGGGTTGCGGGTGTATATTACCATTAAGGAACATGAAAAAAATAGAAGGGCTTCAGCACCCTCAGTTTTTTCATTGAATCTACACCCCTGGTAATTAACTATTTCAACCAAAATACCAAATAAACATTATTTTGCTATAAATAAACAAAAATAAAATGATAATGGTTTTCAGTATTGAAAAAATTGTCAAAATTTAATAGCTCGATAAATTCATAATATCACAAAATATTATATTATAGTGCACACTACATAAGGATAAACAAAAAATAATTAAATAATAAAAAAATAATGGGAGGGATAATCTGACCCCCACGTCTCCCTTTGTATACGCCACTGCATTAAATAAACATTGGTGGTTTTAATAACTAAGAAACTAAAAATAAAATATATTTAATTTTATTAAAATTTTATATTTGAAATAATCTAAGGAAATCAAATTTTCAAGAAAATTTGGATTTATAATCTTATAATATATTAGTTAATAGAACTTTGTACATGGTAAAAACTGGTTTATAAAATAATATTGTGCTACAAGACACCTGTTGAAAATACGATCATTGAAATTACTAGCACAAATTACATGACATTTTTAAATAATTTGAAAGAAAAATTAAAATCAATTTTTTGAAATTTTGATAAGTAAACATCAATAACAACCATCTACAGTACTATGAACAATTTCAAGATTACATTTTTTTAAATAAGAATATTCAATTGTACATACAAAAATTCAAAATTGACATAATTTTAATAGTTAAAATATAAAAAGGAACTTAAAATTAAAATATAAAATAAATGTAATTATACATAAAAATATTTTTTTTATTTTTATAAGATAAATCATCTTAACATTAATAATATCTTAATACTCAGAATTCGGTGATAGGTGATATTAATTTATTTGTATTAATTTAAAATATGATTTATAGTAGTATAAATATTTATATATTTATATTATAATAAATTATAATAATATATAATATATAATAATATTTATATTTATACTTTAATTAAATAATTAAATAAATTGAGCATAATTTTTATGTGTATAGAAAATAAAATAAATTACTTTCAAAATATAAATTAATACCTTTTTAGCAAAAAAATTACTAATATTAAATTTCAGTACATAAATAATTTTTTTCAGTATTATATATTTGACAATAAATGAATGTTTACCTCTTCAAAAAATTTATCCATAAATGCAGCTCCCGATCCATCTTGTCGACCATCCATATTGACAGCCACATCATCAGCACCTCCTTCTTCATCATCACTTTGAGCCTATAAGAAATAATTTAATTCTTTAACATTTTTCACATAGTACAAATTATTTAACTTTGTAAGTCCAAAATTAAAATATATTTATAAAATAAAAATTTGAATATGAAATTAATATTTACACATTAATTTCTAAAGGGTAACATGTAATACATAGAATTCAAAATTTATCTATAAAAATAATGAATAAATATACAGGTACATATAAATTATATAATTTGATATTTATAGATAAATTAAATTTTAATTATTCATTCAAAAAATAATATAATAATAATAAATAATATTAGTATTATACACTTATATCCTATTCCAAAATAATAAAAGATATAAATACAAAATAAGAATATTGAGTAGCTACTTTTGATCTAAAATTAAATTAAATTAAATTTAAAATGTATTTTAAACAAATGATTATTAAGAATAATGGTCTACATAATATAAATTTAATCATACACTGAATTTAATTTATTAATATTTATTAAAGAAAAATAATAATAAATAAATATGGTATAATTATAATATAGTTAAATATGCTTTTATTAACATAGTAAATTAATAGCTATAAGCAATGTTAAATTAATGTATTACTCTACAATAGTTATAATAATAATGTTATGTTTCCTATTTTACAATAATAAATGTAGCTATAAGTGTAATATTGAAGTACTATCTATAAATTAATAATTTTATATTCATAACAAACTAAAATATTCTAGTAAAACTTTAAATAAATTATCATTTTGATAATTAGCTCAACAAGTTAAGAAAATATAAAACAATTTTGGAGTTAGTATTAATAATTTATTTATCATTAGTCAAGTTAGATATATTCACAAATATTATTTACTATGTTTAATAGTAACCCAATTAATAATTAAATAGCTTGATAAAATATAAACCACTATTCATCATAGAGATATTGTCGCGTAATTAATACCAATATAAGACAATAAATAATAAAATATAAAAGGATCTTAATTAAAATAAAAGTAAAAAGTATAATCATTTTGAAATTTAAACTAATTAAAATTAAGCCCTCTGTATTAATTGTCACTATCTCTATAAGAAAATTAAATAATATAAAAAATGTATTTATTGAAAAAGCAGTTTTTAATTCAGAACTTCTGCTAGGTTTTAGTTTACCCATTTGATAACCATAAAAGGCAAGTAGAAAAATCACTATTTCAAATTATTTTAATTCAGAAAAATCTTTTACTGGATTAGTTCAGGTATGCAAAGTTAAGCATCTTTTCAGAATGAATTCATAACTGACATAAAAAATAATTTGAAAAAAAAAAATCATACCGCTTTTAAAGCCGCTAGCCTGTCTTTAGTCATTATTTACAGTATGGAGACGCGATACGGATACACAGACTAGCCGAAAACGATTGAATCTCATAAACGCGTCATTTGGCAAAATCAGTGACACAAACACGAGTATATATAAAATAAGCTAACAATTATAAAAAAAAAAAAAACAACTAAGAAAAACGATAAAAATTTACTTCAATATTATACACCGAACGTGTGGAAAACTCGAAAAAGGGACGAGATAAAAATCAATACATACTTCCTAACTACAGCACTGTCAGCGGCAGACCTGCGAGTGAAATATTGCGCGGCTGCGCGCACCGTGGACCAAAAAACGAATCCATACAGTACAGCCAACACAACAATTTTAGCGCCTTTCAATAATATTGATTAACATTTTCAATATTTATTTATTCTTATGTTGAAAATATTAAATTTTAAAATGTATTTAACTATAATATATTTCAGTAGCTCAAAATACTAGTTTATTCTTACAGAGTTAATTTAAATGAATTATAAGTTAAAAAATTTAACATTATAATACATTTAAGAATCCAAACTAACAAATTATACGGGCTTAAAAAATATTTGACTAAGTGCGTATATAATTAAAGAAAACTTTGATAAAAGTCTATTTTATCATTTGTAAAAAACAATTTTTATGTGGTGAAATTAAAAATGGTTGTGTTTAACAATTTTTAATTTGTCCCATCACTCGAAGATTTTTTGTTCAATAACTTGAATATCGAAAATATAATTTTATCTACATTCAAAATGTTTTGGAACAAAAAATTGAACTGGATCTTTGTGCTTACTCATAATAGTCATGATAATTATGAAACTTTTTTTGTTTAATATCATTATATTAATACCAAGAAAGCGGTGGGAAGATATTATAAAAAAGAATATGGAAGAGATGGAAAAGCATTCCAATTGGAGAAATCTAGCCTTGGACAGAAAAGAATGGAAGCTTGTGTGTAAGATAGGATGGTCTTAAAGACCCAATAAAACTAAAAAAAAAAAAGAAGAAAAAGAAAGATCGTTAAATATATATAAGAGTGGTCTTTATTTGTTATGGTATTTTTTTTTATTACAGTAACCCCTTAATTTATTAAGTCATGTACCTAAGTAAATAATTTATGTAAAATTTTTAAGTTCTCCCTCAACCCTTTCTGGTGCCACATTTGGATTGAAATATGGCTAAAAGAGACTAGTTTGTTTTTTTACTTTATTCAAAGTATAGGATTTAGTGTAAACATTTAAAGAGCTTAATGATAGATTTTAATATTTTCTAAAACAAAAAAGCATTCTTATAATACATAAACGTAAATTCTTATAAGTTCATTATTTTGTTAAAAAAATTATAGAGTATCAAAATATTTTATACAGTTTTGAAATTAAATTTTTTCGATTTTGAAATAAATACAACATATGGTTGGATAAATGATAAAAATATTTCTTATAAAAATTATACAAAATTAAATTATCTAAAAATAAGATTAAGGATGAAAACGTCATAAGATAAACTTTAATATAAGTATTGGTTGTATTTACCAGAATTTCATGCAATTCCCAATTAGTCTTGCAGTTCGTTGTTAATTTTTTTTCCCCAAGTTGCATTTTCGCTATCATAAGTTGGTCCACATTTGTCCACCAGATTTAGTTTTCAAAAAATCTGATCCTTCTTTCGTATGTACTGGTGGTGATCCAATCTTCACAGCCACAAGTGAGCGTAGACCTATTATTGTCGTATATAATCTATTTTTGTTTTTTTTTAATATAATTTTGATTTTAAGAACTTACTTAAGGCAAATGCTGTTTTTTCAGTCTTTGTTAACCTCACTCCTATTTCCTTCGACCAATCATTTTAAGTACTCAGCATAGCTCTTAAATATCGAAATTCATTGACAACTTCGAAAGTTAAGGACCCCGTATTAGAGTTCTCTCCATTTCCTAGCACCTCCATTATTTTAGTTTTTTCGGCATTGACTCAATCTTATCTTGCTGCGTGCTTACTCAAGGACTTGGACTGCCTTTTCCGTCTCTTCCAAAGAATTTCCTAGTTATTTTCCTTATAGGTTTTTATAATACTATATTAAATAGAGTAGGAGGACAGTGAATCTCCCTGCTTTAACTCAGTTTTTGACACCATATATTAGACCCTTTTTTTATACAATGCTTAAGCACGTGTGACGAACACTAGATGGTCGACTTCTTTGACAGCAAAGTGTAAGTTGCTCCCGGATAGAGCCTGCAATCTTCGGTTACAGCAGACTGATATTGGTTCTCGGAATTTGAATGTCGACTATACGGAGTACGTAATGTGGCCGCATACCAAAAACCCCATTGAAAGTTGCAGGCGTACCGTCAAGCATTTCGAAGACGTAATAGCTTTTCCGGTCCGACCATAATCATAAAGGTGGTGGAGCCGTAGAAGTTTCTCGAAAAATCGATATATCTACGCCATTAGTTGGACTGGTCGTTGTACGACAAATTTATGGCTTGAACAATTAGTAGCCTCGATCTACTACTCATTGCCTAAAGGTATGGAAAATCGACCGATACCACATCGACAGTCATCAGCACATGTACCGATATAATAAAATAATAATTCAAACGTTATTAATGCACTATAAATACTTCAATAGTGTCCTAACGTTACTAAAAATATATTGATGTCTGAGGCCTATATTCTACATTGTAGAATTTACAATACTAGCGAAACTTCACATTATTATTTAACGTAGGGATATTAAATAAAACATAAATTAAATATTTATAAATGTACAGCTAAAATTATTTTCATAAATATTTATATCGGGACTCAATTTTGGGTCGCGACCCATGGGTTGAAAAACACTGCCATCGGGTGTATTATGTTACATATACGTATTACATATAGGTCGTATACTCCCTTCAACATTATTTTGAAAATTCAAGGATATATATTTGTATTTTCTCAAGTTTCAATCACTTCGTAGAGAAATACTAAATGTAATTAATTATAATTTTTAAAATTAATTTTGGCCTTATTGGTATTAACAATAATAATTTAATAGATAATCAATTTTCCTTTCAAAGATCAGTAGATGGTATCAATTTATTTAAATGTATATTTCGTTAAGAATTAAAAATTTAAGCATTTAAATTTTTTGTTAATGCTAGCTGATCCATCACGGCTTCACGCGTGATTGGTTGTTTAATTTGCCTTCAGACGATGATATAAAGAATTTTTTATTCAAATTCTATCGTTTAATAATATCGGCAAGTTAATAAAAAAAAAACGGTTAATTAAAACGTATTGAAAAGTTTCTTGCGGGATTAATGACAAATATATTTTTATTAAAAATGAATACTGATACAAAAGAAATGATGAGTAATTTATGGTTGATAAAAAATTGTATTAAACTTCTGAGTATATGAATTTTTTTATTTTACCTCCTGTTGAAATTAAAATCATAAGATGATATGATTTTATGATTATGATTCGGGTCCCCAGTTCGAGAAAATCCCACGTATGTGAAAAGCACTCTGTTCGAATATCTACACCAACGTATCTGAATGTTTGACCTTGAGCTTTGTTTATCGTAATTGCAAAAGAAACTTTAACAGAGAATTAAAGCTGTTTGGAAAAAAAACGACAAGTCAGAAGGAATCATAGGAGTTCTTGGAATAAATGCTATTTCTTTTTTTTGCTGGTCCTGTAAGAATGACGTCTTCTATAATATTATTTCACAAATATTTTAAATAAAAATCATAAAAATGTCTATATTCAGACACTCGAAGTCGTAGTATACTCTCAACAAAATGTATACTGACTATTGACCTCCCTTGTCAATTGTACATTTGTAACCCCACCTTTTGTCTTACGGAAAAACGAGGATTTAAATAAATGTATGCTAATACTTGTAATTTATCTTTATTATTGTCTTCGTATACCTGTTGTCTTAGATTTCGGTTGCCATCACAAGCTCTTCTAGTGAATAATCCGTATTCTCAACTAACCTCGATTCGCACAAAAAAGTTGTGAGGTAGTTGATATTGATCAGAATTATATGTTCAGTATACATATTTGCTGTGTTAAATAAATTGTTATGGTATTCACCATAAATTAATAGAATATCTGTTTTTTCACTAAAGCTCGCCATTGTATAATATGTATAAACAAACAATACATATGTATTGCAAACGAATGCCAAAACACATCTAAGATCATTTCACCATTACATAAATGTAGGGGGGTACATTTAGAAATTGTAACCGTAATATTAGATTAGATTCAACTAAATTTATTAAGATAAAATAATCTAAGCCTTCTAACAAAAGACGTTTAGAATCAAGATAATTTTGGTAGAAATAAAATCAAAATGATAAGCCCATATCACCTTTAGACTATAAATAAATAATTTATTAAAATCAAAAATTTGTTTTTCAGATTAATAAAATTTAAAATAATATGTGTAAATTTGTTTAGAATAATTTCGTTAATCAACCAAAAATTTACCCAATTGCCATGTACGAGTTTATTTGAATTGAATTAATTAACTCTTGTGTAAATAATGTATAAACATAACACTGAGTAAACAGCATAGTTAATTTTTCAGAAAAATTATAAAAAAAACCACATAAATTATTGTAAAACCGTAAATAGACTATTGAAAATTACGATAGATACACATTTCGTGAGTCAAAACTTTAACTTGCTCTCGATTAGTTTATTTTAGAGATAGAACAAAACTATATGAGTCAAAGTTGTTTAAAAAAATTAATGTAATCCAAATATAAACTCAAAAGTAGAGGTTGTTTTTTAAAAAAATTATTTTACTGCACATGCGCGGGAAAAAAATGATAAAAATTTTAATTTTTAAAAAATAAGTGTAAATATTTAAGTCATTTTACAGATAAAAAACCCGAATTAAATACATGGTAATAAATTGGAAATATTTCATATTACTTTTATCGTCAAATACACTGTATTTATGTATAAATAAAATTAATGTACTAAGACTTAATTTATATAATGTACTACTACCAAAAAGCATTTTTCAAAAATGCACCTTAATTATAACTTATAATCTATAATAATTAGTAAACGAGCTATTTTTTTCCTTAATATTTATATTCCTAATTAAACTCATATACTATATAAGATATAAGATTTATAATATAAGATACGATATATAAGATTTACGAATAAGTTTGAATCTGAAAGTTATTTTTTTTTTAAATAATGAGGTAGGTAATTATATATATATATATATATACATAAATAAGTATTATAAATTTATAATCAATGGTAGAACGTAAAAGTATAATTAATAATTAAAAACAATATTTACTAATGAATAATAAGTAATAATCATTACATTAATGCATGGTATATAATAAAAAAATAAATAGTAACTTATTATTGAACAAATAGTTAGTTACTTAGTTAATAGTTAGTTTATTATAAAAAAAAAAAAAAAAAATCAAATTGTATTGTTCTGTGAAGATTTCTAGGTTCATGTATAATACAATAGTCTTCAGTTCACAACTTTACCTAGATGATCGACGCATCTATTTGTGACAGTTTACATCTGTTTCATTTACATTTTTCCTATTTTAATAAAATTCTCTAAGCTCTGCCAGTTTCTTCTTCACTGCTTGAGAATACCTCTCATCCCGATATTTAACTTTTTTTAAAACTTATCTTTTTACCAATATTTTAATGTTTATAGTTAAAAATCATTAATATTATCAGAAATGTTAGCTTTTACTATCGAATTATTTTGTTTTCTTTTCTTATCATACTATTTTTTGTATTTTTTGTAACTTATACAATTATTATTTTCAAATTTAAGTAGTTTAGGTCAAATGTATTTAAATAAATATTATATCTATAACTAGTTGTTCCAAATAGTCCCCCGAATATCGTTACACCATTTTTTTTTTTTTTTTAATTTCTTACTCCCTGGAGAAGAAATGGAATATTCAATTTAACATAAAATAATAAATGATACGACTAACCGAATATAATCACCATGCTCTCAACTATTAACTAATGGTTATAGCCTTGTCCACTGGCTTTTTTCTTTAAATTAAAGTTGTGAAGAATAATTAATCATTTTGGCTGTGGTAAACGATGGTAGACGGGTGGGTGGCGACTAATGACGATGTTTACGTCCAGGCAAATTGAAAAACTAAACTACATCTAATAATCAATTATGGTACAATTAGATTACACTTCGCTACTAACTGCTTAACTTACATAATTTGTAATCGAACTAAAATTTCTAATCACCTCTCTCAACTTCTTGCAAAATAAATTGATCCTGTATGGAGGGTGTTTTTGAAATGGATGAAGTTACTAATATACTTACTGTGACGTCACAATGAAGATTTTTTAAAAAAAAGTTTCTGTTTTTAAAATCTTAGTTTTTTCAAATTATTTTTAGAGTATTATCTTAAATGTAAAAATAAACAATCCAGTTGTATTTTTCCAAAATTATCATACGAACGAGGCGTTATGTTATTTTCACACTCGAGTCGCTGACTAAAAAAAAATTAGATATAATAACAAAATTAGAGTTAACAAAGTTTTACATTTTTAGTTCTAACTTCGTCCATTTCAGATCCAACCACTCAAATGCACATCCCAAGAAGGTTCTGCGATAATTATAAAATCCTTAATTTTTACATCAAAATGTCAAGTATTAATGAACCAACCTTATAAGCTAAAAATATTAAAATCAAAATAAATGATTTTATTATGTAAATGAATTTAAATATCACAAACTCATCTTAGTTCCTTTCAGACCAATCAATGACTATATCTAGATTACAGTTATTTCTCTAAAGTTTTGGTGAAAAAAAGTCTCAAGTCTTTTCATTTATATTCTTAAAAGACCAAACCAGGGGCGTTATTTCAACTTTTGAAAGGGTGGAGCAACTGATTAAATTTGCCGACTTTATAATATTTAAAAAATTATGGTTACCTATATATTTAAGTATTTAATATTTATGGACCATAGACTATCAATAAAATATTTTTTTGGAACAAAACATGTAAGGATTAGTAATGAATAATGATGTCATGATGATAAATAAAGAACATGAAACGTTTCAATTTACCCAATCAAATAATAACATTAAAGATAGTAAAACATTAATTTATTTACTTATCCTATAGGCCAGCGGTTCTTAATCTTTTGTAGATCACGGACCCCTGATAAAAGATTTTTTAGAAATTGCGGACCCCCTTACGAATTTTTTTTAGAATAACTTTTTTTTTTTTTACAAAACATCTCATGTTATTAAAACCAAAATTATAAAAATGATTTTATTAGTAGACATAACAAAACATACATATTTATAATTATTTATATTACAGTTAATTTTTCAGTAATTTAATTTTAATTATTTTAGTTTTAATTTTTTTTTTTAATATTCTTAAAATTTAATTTTTATTAAATTAATGTGATGCTTGATGTTATACTTACGAGTAAGATACAAGTTTTTGAACATTATATGAAGATAAAATCTATCTATTGTATAATAAAAAAATATATGAAAAATAAATTAATAATAATAATAATCCAACAATATTATAATAATGCACTCATGTCATGTATTGTTGTATTTTATGAGTTAGGGCTGTCGCGGAACTCCGAAATGAGTATCGCGGGCTCCTAGAGGGCCCCGCGGACCATAGGTTAAGAACCGCTGCTATAAGTTATAAGTTACCTATCAATAGGTTTAATGGAATAATAATATGAATCTAATTAAATAAATACTTATAAGCTTATTATTTGTATATTTCCTTTACAGAACTTATTTATAAAAACATAAAATTGTATCTCAAATATAATGTACCGTAGTTTGAGGTGAATAGGAACGATTTTAATGTTTATTTATAGATTATGCGCTCAATTTATATGGTATCGATATCACGAAAATTGTTTTATAAAGATCACGAATATAAAAATATATAACATACCAAAAATAAAGGGTGTCCGGGAATTGGGCCACAATTAACCTTTTTTTCAAAAAGGTATACGGTAATTGGGCCACTAATAAATTTATGTCATAGATATATATATATATATATTGCTACAATACCTAACAGTGTACACGAAACTTTAATCGAAGCGACCGTGTGTCTTATCAAAATGTAATGAAACGATATAGAATTATCAGGGGCAGCCATTAAATGAAATGGATAAAAATAGCTAAAAGTGTAATTTACAAAGTTATAGAACGTCGCGATCGTTTAGTTGATTGCAAACTATACGATCTACGTTTATTGATATATGCTGATTCGGTAATATACGAGTAAAATTGAATTATTGTAATTTATAACGATGGAGACAGGAAAAAAATTATTAATTTTTTATTAATTTTTATTAATTAATTATACATTTTTTTTCCTCACGAGAGTCAATGTGGCAAAATTCGTTGGTGATGTTTTTTATATTATTATATTATATTACATTTTTGAATCCTGCGTATGGCATATTAAAAAAAATAATTGTATTTTATGCATTATAAAAATAACTATTAGTTAATAAACGTTGTATATTCGTCTATTTTTGTGCTGTTAATTTATGACCCAATCTCCGAATACATAAATAAAAATTTACTATTTACTGATTTTAGCATTTGATCATCGGACAAAGAATTGCCGACTTTTTAAAATTTCTTAGAGTGGGGAATTTGCCATAGTCTGCTCTCCCCTCCCCCCAAATAACGCCCCTGGAACCAACTTATTGGCTTGTACATGCAACTAGATCCACTGATATTTGAATATCGCCCATTGATGTTTTTGTCTGGATTTGTAAACCATAATATTGAGTGAATTTTTAAATTAAATATAATTCTTATGAACCTATCGAATGCTAACTACGCCTTTTCCAAGACTAACATCGGACAACCGTACCCAGGACCGACCCAAGCAAAAATAGTGCACAAGACAAAATCAAATTTTGCCGCTTCTAGAAAAAAAAATTGAGCTCTTATTTTAATTTAGCACCTCCCCTATTTTTTATGTGACATATCTACATAAAAAATGTTTTAATTTTTTATTTATGGATAAAATTATATGTAAAGACTTAAAAATGATTTTTATTACTATTACTCAAAACCCATCATTATCGCGATTATCAGATATCACGGAAGTGATTGTGTGGTTATTTATATTTTCTGAATAATTGAAAACACCCAGCGTAGGCCGTAATATAAAGTAATAAGTAATATAATAACTTTAGACAATATTATTTTATTTTATACGTAAGTGGTTTTCAAAAAATGAATTCATTTAAATATTTTTCTTAAAAAATATCAATAGAACTAAAAAATATTCGAGTCAATTTTAAAAATGACGCCCCTACTAAAGTGTCACTCTAGGAAGGTGCTTAGATCACCTATACCTTGAGCCAGCCCTAACTGTACCGGATTATGGGTAGTCAATCATGTTTTCGATTTTTAGCTAAAACAGTATTATTCCTACTTTAAGTTATAGTTAGTTAACTAATTACAAGTATTATTAGTCGACTCGAAATAATACAAAATTGTATTACAAATTTAAACTTTTTCGAGAAAAATATTACATTATCGAATAATCGATAATGCCGCGAAATCTCAAAGTAATTTACATTTACTGGCTCAACTCAATCAAATGGACCACAACATAATTATAAAACTGTAATGGCGCCTAAAATTACAAACTAAATTTATGGCATCTTTGATTCGTATTATAAATAAATGGCGACACTGTACATGGTGACCATTTTGCTGTTCGGCGGGTTGTGACGTGATAGCGGCATCCGAGGCGATCCCCTGACGCCATCATTCCTTGTTCACAATCACGAGCGTGTTTTTTCACGACACTGACTAGACCGTTGGAATCCGTTACAGAATTTTCCGGCATTGTCTATTGGTTTTCTTAATCTTGACTTGCGAACACATCTAACATGTAAGTAACAATCATATTACTTTTTTTTCAAAATACATTTTATTGCATGTCATGAGTTTTAAATTAACTATGGGATCATTTTAGTAAATGTTAGCTATGTATGTACATTATTCTAAATTTTTGTTTTCCAAATATCCGGTTGTATTATGGTTTTTGTGATCTCAACTAGTTAACCAACATTAATTATAAGTCGTTTGATTTAATAATTTTATTTTTTTTGTTTTTTATTTATTGATTAATTTTAAAAAACTTATATGCAAGACAATTTTTCTCCAAACCATGTGATTTATTATATCTAAATATACTGTATATACAACCAATAGTATAAAAAGTAATTATCTATACTATAAATTAGTTTTAGGAACTTTTTAAATCATTATTTTTTATCATAGCTTTATTTTTACTGTATCAAAATATACTAATATTTTGCCTAGTTAAAATTTTCAATTTTGCTATAAGGTTAGGTCTTATCAATAAATAATAAGTTAATATTTTTTTCATTACTAAACAATTTCCTAATTGCTTGACATTTTCATTTTCACTGTTTAACTTCTTGGAAAAAAAAGTAATTATATATTTTTTCTCCCTAATCATCAACATGTTTAACTTAATAAACATAAATAAGATAAATTCGAAGGTCACTATTAAAATATAAGCATAATATGTTAAGGTTTAATAAAATGTTATGTTAATACTATTAACTTTAAAACTACAATTGTTAAGATCATTTAAACTAAACAATTTTTACCTTTTTTTATTATTATAAATTTTCCTTGTAGTAGTGAATAATTTAGCATGTATTTTGGTTTATTTTTTAATAGTTAAATAATAGAAATAAATCATTAATAGGGATATTAAATATTTTAATAAAGAGTTCTGGGTAGATATCAGTTACTTTTTATTGCTCTTCTGATCAAATTAATATCCTAATTTCTTAACTATCTTGCATTTATATACATTTCAATAATATTTGAACTTGCATGATTCTTTTTTATAATTTATTTAATATTAAGATATTTGATTGATAGTTTTATTAGTATACTAATAGGAGTAAAAAAATAATAGTTTTTTGTTGTAATAAATAATAAAAACAATGTTGATTTATAAAAAAAAATGAATTAGATTAACCATAATTAAGAAGAAATATATATTTTTAGTTACTAGGAAACTTAAAATTAAATGTAATATTAAATAATTTTTGATTTTACATAGAAACCAGTAATAATGATTGTACCAGATGATGTACCTACTTTCAAATGTGTACTGGTTGGTGATGGTGGTACAGGAAAGACTACATTTGTGAAAAGACATTTAACTGGTGAATTTGAAAAAAAATATGTTGCTACTCTTGGAGTAGAAGTTCATCCATTGGTATTCCATACTACTCGTGGTGTCATTAGATTTAATGTCTGGGATACCGCTGGTCAAGAAAAATTTGGAGGTCTAAGAGATGGATATTACATTCAAGTAATAATGATAATGGATTACATTAAAGAAAATACTTCTTTATTATGATAAATACTCATATTAGTATATTATTATTTAAACTATTAAAATAAATAGTTAATTGCAATTTAGAACATTTACTTAGAAGAAAAAAAATTTTATTTTGATATTGTCTTAAACAGTGATTTTAAATAATGTTTGAATAATTAATGTATAACATGTTGGCCAACATTTTCTGTTCTGAAACAACAGATATGATAACATAATTTTTTTTTAGGGTCAATGTGCGATTATCATGTTTGATGTTACTAGTCGTATCACTTACAAAAATGTACCTAATTGGCATAGAGATTTGGTAAGAGTATGTGAAGGCATTCCAATTGTGTTGTGTGGTAACAAAGTGGATATTAAGGATAGGAAAGTAAAAGCAAAAACAATAGTTTTTCATCGCAAAAAAAATTTACAGGTAAAAGTTAATACTGCATTATAAATATAAATATTCCTATAATTTTTTTTTTTTTTTTTACAGTATTATGATATTAGTGCTAAGAGTAACTATAACTTTGAAAAACCATTTCTGTGGATGGCTAGAAAATTGATAGGTGATCCCAATCTTGAATTTGTTGCTATGCCAGCTCTTGTACCTCCAGAAATAAAAATGGATCCTCAATGGCAAGACCAAATTGAACAAGACCTTAAGGTATAAACCATTTATTTTTAATTATTTTTTAAATCCTATGAAAATTAATAATTTTAATTTTGTAGGAGGCTCAAGAAACTGCATTGCCTGACGAGGATGAAGACTTGTAATTTATTAGTCCCATTATCCAAATAATTATCTGTTAACTGTCTCAATTCATTAATTACCTTGCGCATTAAGTTAAATCTTTTTTTATAAACATATTAATAAACTTTTCCTGTATTTTATCAATATATAAAAAACAGTTTATTATTTAGTTCAGGTTTAGCTTCATTAATATGTACAGGTTGTATTTATTTATTTATTTTTTCTATTTTGTAATTTGTACCAATCATAGTATATTTGGCTTATTATGAAAACTTAATTAAATTCAGTGATTATCCAAAAATAATATTTATTAATTTCTTTTATAAGTCTAAACTCTTAAACATTTTGCAAAGGGACATACTAAAGAAAATATTTTAAATTTAAATGAGTTATTATTTTAAATATTTTTTTTTTAATTTTACATTAAAATCAACTATCAAAATACTATGATCTAGTATATACTTCTATGTTTTTATTTTGTTTTATCTTTAATTTCCTTAAATTTCTAAATTTCAGTTTATCCAATTTATTTATTTTTCTTTTTATGTTGGTGTAATTCTTTCCTAAGACATAATATGATATGTTATTTAATAATATCATGATAAATATGTATTACGTTCTATCATATTAATTTTATATCATGTTCTTTTTTAGAATCATTATGAATACTTAATAAGTTTTCACACCATTTTTAACCTTGTATTTTTTCATATCTGTACTTTCTTTTTTGTGTAGTTTCAGTTTAACTTAAGGGGTAATGTCGTTAACAAGTTAAATATTTAACTATTCATATATTATGTATATATTTGTTTTCATCATGCTCTATGATTCATTTCTAAATATCCATGAATATTCGGATAATTATTATCAGCGATTATGAAGTATGATACAGCTATAGAATTTTATGTTATAATTTTTTTTAACATAAATTTGGAAAAATATTTTTTGAATTTTATTTCCCATAAAATGAAGTAATTACAAGGGTAATTGGTGCTTTTTTTTCTATTATTTTATTCCTGTGCAATAAGTTATTCGCTTATTATGTAATTTTGTGTCTTATTAAATATGTAGTATTATATTGCATTATATTAATGCATTTAGTGCATATTTACCAACATACTCATAAATTTCATTTAGCATGATGAAAATATTGTTTTAGGGCATATCCCTTTCATAATTTTATGGTTGATCGATGTATACTTGCATACTTAAGGTGTAAAAATTCCTACTTCCACCTCTGTCCACACCAATAATTAATAATTATTTAAAAAATTGATGAAATTTTATTTCTTTTTCCATAAAACTTTAAGTATATATGTACCAAACCCGTAATTATAGCATTAAATTATTTTTAAATTAATTTATTACCTTGAAATTAACAAAAAAGGTGGTTAACAATGCTAACACCGTGCATGTATCGATATAATAAATATCGATAAATAATAAAATAAAGATTTCGTTACAAAATTAAAATTATAAAGATATATAGTATGTATATTGTAATTTTTTATGAAAATCTTGAAAACAATCGGATTCTTTTCTCATGCATAAATTTATTTTGCATACAGAACAAGTCCAAATTGAACGAATTGGTTTCTTTCTTATCTAAATCTGACTCTGACGGTATATCTTCAAACATTGAACATTTTTCAATATCTTTTTTACTCAAACTTCTAGTACGACAGGACATTTCTAAAACGAAGTAATATTTGTTTCTATACAATTTATGTAATTTATAAATTAAATAAATCTAAATGTGTAATTACTTACCAGAAGGGTAAATTGAAGATAATATTTATAAAATGAGTGTATAATAAATAATATAAATCAAATAAAATTATTAAAGTATATAAAATTTAATATAATAACTATATAAATACAAACATCAACTGCATGGTGGTTAGTGTAGCTGACTACGGAAAATGACATTAAACGTGAAGGGAAGTAAGTAAGTTGTTGAAAACGGCAAAATAGGTTAAATATATGATAAGTAAATATTTAAACAGTATACCGATTCAATAATTGTGGAAGTCGATGGAAAAACCATCCATTAAAAATTTAACGTTTATATTTTTAGAATACTTGATACACCTAACATATGTTAAGTAATATTAAATATTGATATATCACATGCTATTTAGTGATACATGATTTAATTGGTTTTGGTGGTCAGCAACGCTAAAGCTCGATTCACGCTAGCGGTCTCGGTTCGGTCCGTTCACTGTCAAGGATTATGATGTACAGTTCTCACTGCCGGTCACAATCAGTCAAGTTCTATCTGCACGTTGCCTCAAAGTATAAAAAAGTGTTAAAAAAACAATGGATATGGCCGAGGTGAGCGCAGCGATTGACTATTCACACTAGGCGGTCTCGATCTAAAAGCTTGTAACCACGGCGGTCTGGATCATGCATCGACCGTGATCGATAGTGTGTACGATGCCGTTGGATTACGTACTATCGATGTTGAGTTGATCGAATCGAGCTGAAATCCAACTGGGAAAATCAGAAAAAATATTTTATAGGTGGTTAACACTATTAACCACCATACGATAGGTGGAAGAATCAGGTGGTCAACAGTATTTAACAACCATGCCGGAAAGAGTTAAATGGCCCATCTCACCACTGAGGATAACATCTTATTGGTGGTGATGGAGTACTATTAAAAGATACACAATAAATGGACTATGCATTGCCGCGGTCGCGGCGCAGAGCTAAACAAAAAGAAAAAGAAGCCAGCGCGCGATAACGGTGTATATTACACGAGAGAACTTTTATTTTACGAAAATCATGTCGGGTACCCTGTAGCCTGAACTAATGAACCAATTAACTCGAAACATTCACGAATAGCTCAGTTTGGTGTGTAGATGATTCTGGTAACATTTCAAGTTTATCGGAGTATTACAGCATTAGTTATAAGCTGAAGTATTGGTATAATTAATAAGCAAAATGCTATTTTTTTCGACATTTCCACAATGTATGTGCTTGTGCTGGCCGCCCATTTTTCCCCTTCCACGCATCGGTTGCAATCATTCGTTGCGTAATCCGTCGTCACGGCACCGCGTTTAACTATCTGGCCGCCTGAATTTATCCCTCCATGCAACGGGTTTACGATGATTTCGTCTATTCTAACCTAATGCCTTGTATACACGTGCGAGTGAATAGAAACCGTTTCTATTCGCTCGGCCGAACGACTACCGCCACTACCAAAATTGACTGTACTCGGCGTGTACAAACCGCCAACCGAGTAGATCGTGTAGTGAACTCATGTGTCACTCGGCCAAGCAAATAAAATACGTGTAGACGTTGACTCGGTCTATTTCGGTACAAGACCGATCAACATAACGATCACACACATCGTCACGTGTAAACGGGGCATAACATTTGGAAACTGACAGTAGTACAGTTGTTGATCTGATAAAATTACATCAGTTATAAATTTTATCGTTAATGGACTGTATGAAATAAAGGAATAAAATATAAA